TGAGTGCTGGCTGGGATTCAAAGCATGTGCCACCACCATCCTGTTCTTTGTATTGATATTTGATTATAGTCAAAAATAAATATCTGCAACCATACTTATTCATGCATTAAAAAGAAACAAACAGGTTGGAGGGATGACTCAGCAGTTAAGAGCACTGACTGCTCTTCCAGAGGATACATGTTCAAGTCCCAGCATCCACAGAGAAGCTCACAACTGTTTGTAACTCTTGTTCTAGGGAATCCAGTGCCCTCATACAGACATATCTATAGGAAAAACACCAATGAACATAAAATAAAAATAAATTATTAAAAAAAGATACAAACTTACAATACCCACTTCTCAAGCGGCTAAAGGCTAGAAGGTTGCTAGACAAAAAAAGAGAAAAAAAATCTCAGTTTTTAACAATGCATGGTGTTGGATGCTTGTAATCCCAGTACTTGGGAAATGGAAGCTGGAGAATCAAGAGTTCAAGACCAGCCTCAGCTTCACAGCAAGTTAAAGGCCAGACTGGGCTAAATGAGACCCCCACCTAAAATTTATCATTTTAGCTGGGCAGTGGTGGCACACGCCTTTAATTCCAGCACTCAGAAGGCAAAGGCAGGCAAATCTCTGTGAGTTCGAGGCCAGCCTGGTCTACAGAGCAAGTTCCAGGAAAGCTAGGGCTGTTACACAGAGAAACCCTGCATCAAAAACAAAACAACAAAAAAATTATTATTTTATGTGCATTGGTGTTTTGCTCACATGTATGTCTTTATGAGGATTTCAGACCTATGTGTGGACCTGGTGTTACAGACAGTTGTGAGCTGTCATGTGGATGCTGATAGTTGAACCTGGGTCTTCTGCTCTTAACTGTGGAGCCATCTCTCCAGCCCTTAAAGCAATATTTTGTGTGTGTGTGTGTTTACTATGTGAAGACATGTATATGGGTGTGTAGTGTGGTTGCACACATGTAGAGACCAGGGGTCAATGTAAGTTATCTTTCTTAACCCCTTCTCCACCTTTGTGTGTGTTATATGCAGGTATGCATGTGTGCTGGTCTGGCAGGCACATATATCATACAGACATTAAAATCTCTTCCTCAATCACTTCTTCTTTTTCTTCTTCTTCCTCTTCTCCTTTTTCTTCTTCTTCTTCTTCTTCTTCTTTTATTATTATTATTATTATTATTATTATTATTATTATTATTATTATAGATAGGGTCTCACATGTAGCTCTGGCTATCCTGGAACTCAATAATGTAGACCAGACTGGCTTCAAACACACAGAGCTTCACCTGCCTTTGCCTCTCAAGGGTTGGGATTTAAGATATGAGCCATTACACCCAGTTTCTACTTTATTTTTTGAGACAGAATTCACAGAACTAGGACCTTGCTGCTTTGGCTAAAATGGCCAGCTAGTAGGCCTGGAATCTGCCAGTCAAGGTCTCCAACCCCTGAGGTTACAGAAGCACACTGCCATGACAGGCTTGTATGTGGGTGCAGAGGAACCAAAAACAGGGCCTCCTCGATTTTACACACTGAACTATCAAACTCTCTACCTTGGTTTTTGAGATAAGGTCACACTATGTGACTTTGGTTGGCCTGGAACTCATTAGGCAGACCAGGCTGGCCTCTGCCTCTCTACTACTGGGATTAAAGGTGTGCACCACCACACCCAACCTAAAACAGTTGTGTGTGTGTGTCCTCGCAAGTGCACTTCTGGAAGTCACAAAACTTGTAGTTCGTTCCTTCCACAAATGTCCCAGAGATCAAACTCAGGTCATCAGGATAGTGTAGCAAGTTCCTTTAACCACTGAGCAGTCTTACCGAACTACAGGGCCTCACCTGGCTTCTCATGCTTTTAGTGCAAGCAAGCACTTTACTAACAGCCGTCACCCCAGTTCGCTGTATCCATCAATACTAACAGCCGTCACCCCAGTCCGCTGTATCCATCAATACTAACAGCTGTCACCCCCGTCCACTAATACTAACAGCCGTCACCCCAGTCCACTGTATCCATCAATACTAACAGTCATCACCCCAGCATTGTATCCTTTAAAAATAAAAATTTTACATGTATGGGTGTTTTGCTTGCATGTATGTTTGAGCACCACATAGGTGCCTGTTGTTGTTCCTGGTTGCCAAGAGTGTCAGCTCCTGGGAGTTACAATTATGAGCTGCCATGTGGGTGCTGGGGATTGAATCCTGGTCCTCTGAAGAACAGCCAATGTTCCTAACCACTGAGCCATCTCTCCAGCCTCCTAATGTATTCTTTTCCTAAATTTCCTAAATTTGTTCTCTCTTTGTCTGTCCCTCTCTCTCATTTTGTATGTATGTGTGTGTGTGTGGGGGGGGGCGATCTCGGGTGTCATCCTCAGGAAATCCACCCACCTCCTTTGAGACAGGATCTCATTGGTCCAGAATTTGACAAAGGGAGCCCAAGGGATCCTTGTTTCCCCTTCCCAGCCCTGGGATTACAAATGAACACCACCATGCTGGATTTATTTTTATGCAAATACTTTATCCATGCAGCCATTCTTGGGCCCTCATCAATGTATTCTTTTTTTTTAAATATTTTTTTTATAATTTATTACTGTTTTGTGTGCATTGCTGTTTTGTCTGCAGGTATGTCTATTCAAGGGGGTCAGATCCCCTAGAATGGAGTTACAGACAGTTGTGAGCTGCCATGTGGTTGCTGGGAATTGAACCCAGGTCTTCTGGAAGAGCAGTCAGTGCTCTTAACCTCTAAGCCATCTCTCCAGCCCCTCATCAATGTATTCTTGATGACTAAGCATATGTAGAGAGACTGAAGAGTTCTACCAAGCCTCAGCATAGCAAACATGGATTTGTCTTTTATCCTTCTCCCCCTTGCTAAAACCGCTAGTTTATAGTCCTAAAGGTAACTTCCAAAATTCATTCCCTTATTTGGCCACTAACTCATTCCTGGGATGAAACATCAAAATCCATCAATCAATCAAGCTGGGTGGGTGTGGAACAAGCCTTTAATCCCAGCTTTTGGGAGGCAGAGGCAGAGGCAGGCAGATCTCTGAGGTCCTGGTTTATAGAACTAGTTCCAGGACAAACGCCACAGTTACACAGAGAAACCCTGTCTCAGAGAACAAACCAACAACAAAAAACAAGCAAACACACACACAAAAAAAGGATCTAGCAATCGAAATTCATTATTTGACTAATATGTTGAATCAGGACTTAACAACTCACCCTAGCACAGACTCTCCCAGCCCCCCACTTCCCTTTAAAAACCAACTCCTGGGCCGGGCAGTGATGGCACACAGCTTTAATCCCAGGAAGGCAGAGGCAGAGGCAGAGACAGGTGGATCTTTATGAATTTGAGGCCAACCTGGTTTACAAGAGCTACTTCCAGGACAGGAACCCCTGTTCTGGGGTTACACAGAAAAACCCTGTCTCGACAAACCAAAAATAATAATAATAATAATAATAAAAACCCGAACTCTTGGAAAAAACACCTGCTTGTTGGTTGCTTTCTGCTGCTACTGCTGTCTTTGCAGCCTCCCCACCTCACTGACCCCTCTGGAGTAATAAATCACCTTTGTGTTGAGAATTTGCTGTTTGGATATGTCCTGTACCAATTGGGGTGGGAGTCCTTCCCAACAGAAACACTTCTATTGGCTGATACAAACAGAACAAACAGAAAAATCTACAATACTTTGTAGTTGCTACACAATACTTGAAATTGATTTTTTTTTAAATTTTTGGTGACAGGGCTGGTATGTAGGCCAATTGGTCTTGACCTCTCAAAGATTCACCTACCTCTGCTTCCCAAAAACTAGGATTAAAGGCCTGTGCACCTCATGTAACTCAAACGCAACTTAAATTTCTGATAGTTTGGTAAGGGTAGGGGAATGACCTTGTCTCAAAAGAACAAAACAGTTCTCAAAAGAAAACGTATGTCAAACCTTATATTTTGTAGTAAAAGTTTAAACTGGGTGGTGGTGGCACACACTTTTAATCCCAACATTCAGGAGGCAGAGGCAGAGGCAGGTGGATCTCTGAGTTTGAGGCTATCTTGGCCTACAGAGTTACAGAACAGGTTCCAAAGTTACAAAGAAACCTATCTCAAAAAAACAAAAACAAAAACAAAACAAAAAGCTTAAAATGCAAGTGAACAGTTGTCACAGATCAGTTGTAGCTCTTTTATTCTGGGTTTTAAAAGGTCAAACATTTCCTCCCGCACTCTAATAACATTAGCTTTGTAGATTTACAGAGGGTTTTAACTGGCAAAGTCTAACTTAATCCATGAAAACCACATTAATATAAGCAGTCAGTCATTCAATCAGTGAAGGTTTTGAGAGGATTATTTGATACGGAAGTCCAAATAGTAATAAAAAGAGGATTCATTTTTAATGTTTCTGTTCCTTGGATTGATAGTCTTCTAGCTGTTTTGTTTTTTGTTTTAATCACCCTTGTTTCTTGGGTTGTTTTGTTTTTTGTTTTTTTTTTTCCCATATCGGCAGGATCCTTGCACCACTTTTTAGTATCAGTGTCGAAAAATGAGTCTGCAGTATGTCACAGCCCAGAAACCTGAAGCAGAAGCAAGGGCTATATCCTTTTCCACCAAAGAGGTTTATAATGAGTGACGCCATTTATCCCAATTCAACGCTGATCTTTCTAGCTTCCGCACCGCCCTCGAATTGGGCTGCGAGCACGTCCCAAAGGCGCACGCATTTTAACTCCCCAAACGAGAATCCGCGCCATTCATTTAGCTTCTAGAGCTCTAAGATTTACCCAGAGGGCTTTGTGTTGAATCCATGGCAAAAGCGCATTTTTATACACACTTGCTTTGATAGCATGGTACGCACATTTTCCTCTTATAAAGATAACTTGAACTGTTCACGGTGACCGTGAGAACTCAGGTTTCCTAGCACCCAAACTCCAGCTCCGGTGACTCCTCCCCGTTGCAAGGACGGAGGCAAAGGACTACAGAGCGGAGGATTCTGGGGGAAGGAAATGACATCAGGCGCAAAGCATGCTGGGCTTAGGCGGGCCGACTCAAGGCGGGTCGGCGGCGTGCAAGCCTAATGGAGTTGTAGCGATGAATGTCTGCGCAGTTTTATCGGGTTGTCTGGAATCAGCAGCTGGCGCAAGCCCGGCGGGAACTCTGATCTAGAGAAAATAGGTGGGAATTCGACAATTCCGCATCAGTTATGCCTATACGGGGTTTAGAGCGAAATCCTTTTATCTAAGGAAAACAGCTGAGGATTTGAGTGTCATCTATGGGCCAGAGTTAAAAGCCAGATTGAAAGCCGTATCCGGAATTGGGAGAGCAGGGTAAATGGACATGCTAGAGGAGTTTCAGAATTGCTTCTGCGGCCATCGGTATTACCGTAGCTCAGGCTAAATTATAAATAATTTTTCTTTTTCCGGATATGGTAAAACAAAACAAAACAAAACATCCTCAAGAGTTCTCCAGTTTCTTATAGTAAAAATGGGCTGTTTGTTGTTCCTTTTGAGGCTGGAGATTCACACTGTGTTAACCAGGCTGGTCTCAGACTTGTCTCAGTGTTACTAGTAGGTAGGACTAGCTGTAATGTAAGCTACTAAACCAGCTCTATGTATTAGTACTTACTTGTATTAAGAAACTTGTTAACCAAGACTACACAGAGAAATCCTGTCTCAAAAAAGGGGAAAAAAAAGAGAAACGAGGCAAATTACAGACGTCAGAAGGGAAATCAGAGGTTAAGATATTTGCTTGTGTGGAATATGCATAGTGATTAAGTCAAACTGGTAATGGTTTTAGATCTAGCCAACTGGTAACCATGAGTGAATGGATGAAGAAAAGCCCCTTAGAATGGGAAGACTACGTTTATAAAGAAGTCAGAGTGGTAGCCAGTGAGAAGAAGGAGTATAAGGGATGGCTTTTAACTACAGACCCAGTCTCTGCCAAGTGAGTATGCCCCTTATTTCTAGAAGTGACAACCCTAGGTACTGCCTATATATCCAGTATTAGAAGGCAGGTTATGCGCACATGAGAAGTGCTGTTTTAATTATGGGTTACTGTAGCAAACTAGACAGGTATAGGAATAGAAAATAGACATTCTCAGCCAGGCGGTGGTGGCACACGCCTTTAATCCCAGCACTTGGGAGGCAGAGGCAGGCGGATCTCTGGGAGTTTGAGGTCAGCCTGGTCTACAAGAGCTAGTTCCAGGACAGGCTCCTAAGCTACAGAGAAACCCTGTCTCGAAAAACCAAAAAATAAAAGAATTAATAGCTGGCGTTGTAGGCCTTTGCCGCTAAGGTCTGTCCTGGGAGTTTACTGAGCTTCAGAATTATTGTCAGATATTTGTAGTATATTAAGCAGTGCTGCCGTATTCCTAGTGTTGTGTACCTTCTGTCTGTCTTGCCTGAGTGGGGTATGGGTGTGTGTTTGCTAGGGACTGAACCTAGGGTCTCCTACATGGAGATGTGTACTCTACCATCAGTTCTGACCCACTTTCAACTTTCAGGTTCGATGATCTGACTTTGGTTTTATTTTTTAGTTTTTACATTTTGTTTTAATTCCTCTAATTGTATGCTTTGTTGTTTTCTTTGGTCTACTTTGTGTATTTAAAATTTACTTTTTTTTTTTAAAACAGATTTATGTGTATGTGGTATATATGCATGTATGTATGCATTTTCTTTTTTCTTTTTAAGACAGGATTTCCCTGTATAGCTTTGGAGCTTGTCCTGGACAAGCTTGTCCTTGTCCTTGTCTTGTAGACCAGGCTAGCCTTAACTCATGGATCTCTGTGATCCTCTGCCTCTCGAGTTCGAGTGCTTGGAATTAAAGGCACGCACCACCACCGCCAGGTATGTATACATTTTCAAGTCTGGTCTGTATGCAGGTAAGCATGTACAGATGTGCATGAGGAGATAGGGGCCTGAGGTTGATGTCCAGTGCCTTCCTCAGTCACTCGCCTCCTGTGTATAGAGGCAGGGTTTCTCACTATGGCTAGTCTAACTGGCCACCTTGCTATAACTTTTTTTTTAAAATATTTATTTATTTGTTTATTATGTATACAGTATTCTTTCTGCAGTCCAGAAGAGGGCACCAGGCCTCATTACAGATGGTTGTGAGTCACCATGTGGTTGCTGGGAATTGAACTCAGGACCTTTGGAAGAGCAAGCAATGCTCTTAACCACTGAGCCATCTCTCCAGCCCCACTTTTTTTTTTTTTTAATCTTCATTTGGCCTGTCCTGGCGGTGCACTCTCTCACTTGGGAGACAGAGGCCAGCAGATCCCTGTGAATTCAAGGCCAGTCTGATCTACCAAACAAGTTCCAGGACAGTCAGCAACACACAGAGTCTCACCTCCCCCCCTCAAAACAAACAGGGCTGGAGAGATGGCTCAGCGCTTAAGAGCACTGTCTGTTCTTCCAAAGATTCTGAGTTCAGTTCAATAACAGCAATCACATGGTGGTTCACAGCAGTCTGTAATAATAAGATCTGGTGCCTTCTTCTGGCCTGCAGGCATACATGCAGACAGAACACTATATATATATATAATAAATAAATAAATCTTTAAAAACAAACAAACAAACAAACAAAAAACCCACTTTGTTTGGAAGTGGTTAGCAAACCCCAGTACCTTATAAATGCTAAGTATGCACTCTACCACTGAACTACATACACTTCAACCCCACCCTGACCCGCTCACTTTAGATGCTACATTAGCTGTGCCCTGTGCTATTCACTAGGCAAAACGTTTAGATGTTTGCGTCAGTGAATGTTTGTGGAATAAGTAAAAGCATTTGGCGGTGAAATGATTAATCTTTGCTGAGACAGTTCGCTCTTGTTCAGGTGACCTGTTTGGGGTGGCGATGTCCCATTCTTTATAGTTCTTGAGGTTTTTTTTTTACAAATCTGCTCTGAACTTACATTTTCTTTAAAGTATTGTCCTCGTGACCTTCCTTGAAGATGGCAGCTTGTCTGTGACTGGAGTTATGGGGCATTCTGTGCAGACTGTGGAAGTTGTGAGTGAAGGGGACCACAGAGTGAGGGAGAAGCTGATGCGCTTGTTCACATCCGGCGATTGTGAAGGATACAGCCTCGAGGATCTGGAAAAGCGAAAGAACAGCCTGAAGAAATGGCTGGAGAAGAACCACATCCCTGTCACCGAGCAGGGAGATGCACCGGGGACGCTGTGTGTGGCTGGGGTTCTGACTGTCGATCCGCCCTATGCTCCAGAAAATTGCTGCAGCTCCAACGAGATCATTCTGTCCCGCATTCGGGACCTTATTCAAGGACATCTCTCAGCTTCCCAGTGAGAGAGGCCAAGTGCTGTGAGCAGGCTTACTCCAAATGACTTCACTGTTTGGTTTTGTGTTAATTGCTTCTATTGTACGTTGATGATATTATAGGAGTTCAAAAGCACAGTGGGGTGTGTGTGTTAAGTTTTTGTTTAGGTCAAATTGGGTGAGTAGACCTGAGTGCTGATTTCCCTGGGAAGTAAAGGCACAAGAAGAGCATTCCATGCACTGAAATGAAAGCTGGAAAGTAACGCTTCTGAGGAGTTTTTCTGTGGCGCGGATAAAAGCCCTTTTTGTAAAGCAGGAATGCATTTTGAATAGATATAACAATGTTAAATAGCTGGGCGGTGGTGGTGCACGACTTTAATCCCATTACTTGGAAGGCAGAGGCAAGTGGATCTTTGTTAGTTCGAGACCAGCCTGGTCTACAAGAGCTAGTTCCAGGACAGGCTCCAAAGCTACAGAGAAACCCTGTCTCAAAAAAAAAAAAAAAGTTAAATCAATTTATAAATTTCAATATAAGATATTAAAGTAAAAATCCCAGTCTCAGGTCCCTTTGACTAACCAGACCTCTGTGTTATTAAAATACTGGTCTTTGAGGTTGAAAACAATACAGTATTTGAGTTAGAGTAATTTGGTTTGGTTATGGCTTGTGCCCCCTGCAGTTCTTGTGATGGGAATTTCTAACTTAAAGATGAGACATGGGGCTAGAGAGATAGCTCAGCAGTTAGACGCACTGGCTGCTCTCCCAGAGAACTTGGGTTCAATTCCCAGCGCTCACATGGCTGCTCACAACTGTCTGTAACTCCAGTTCTGGGGCCCTAACATACATGTAGGCAAATACTAATGTGTGTGTGTGTGTATGTGTGTGTGTGTGTGTGTGTGTCTATGTGTATATATATATATATATATATATATATATATAAAATATGTATATATGTATATAAAAGGAAATAAACCATTAAAAAAACAGCTGAGATATAATGGGAAATCTTTAGGTCATTGAAAATATGCATTAAAGGATTGTGGGACCTGGTTCCAGATTTCCTGTTTGGTGACATGAGCCCTCCTGCTTTAGTGGCATGGAGCATCTCGGAAATAGAAAGCTCTTAAATTAACATGCTCCAAGCCCGCCAGAGGTGACTCACGCCTTTAGTTCCAGCAGAGGCAGAGGCAGGCGGATCTCTGAGTTCAAGGCCAGCCTAGTCTACAAAGTTAGTTCCAAGACAGCCAGGGCTGTTACACAAAGAAACTCTGTCTCAGAAAAAAAGGAAAAAAAATTAATATGTTCCAGCTCTGACTAAACGGAGCTGATACCATGTTACTGTCCTGTACCTTCAACACTGAGCTAAGTTTCTTTTCACAAATAGCTCATTGCAGGTATTTGATTTATTTTAGTGACTCAAAGATGACTGGTATGGAGGATAATTTTTTGGTTTTTTTTTTTGTTTTCTTTTTATTTATTTATTTTTTCCATGATATTTATTGAGCTCTACATTTTTCTCTGCTCCCCTCCCCTCCCCCCTTCAATCCTCCCCAAAGGTCCCCATGTTCCCAATTTACTCAGGAGATCTTGTCTTTTTATACTTTCTACTTCCCATGTAGATTAGATCTATGTAAGTCTCTCTTGGTGTCCGCATTGTTGTCTAAGTTCTCTGGGATTGTGGTTTGTAGGCTGGCTTTCTTTGCTTTATGTTTAAAAACCACCTATGATTGAGTACAAGTGATAATTGTCTTTCTGTGTCTGGGTTACTTCACTCAATGTTTTCTAGTTCCATCCATTCTCCTGCAAAATTCAAGCTGTCGTTATTTTTTTCTGTTGTATAGTACTCCATTGTATAAATGTACTACATTTTTCTTATTCATTCTTTGGTCGAGGGGCATTTAGGTTGTTTCCAGGTTCTGGTTATGACAAACAAAGCTGCTATGAACATAGTTGAGCCCGTGTCCTTGTGGCACAATTGAGCATCCTTTGGATATATACCCAAAAGTGGTATTACTGGGTCTTGAAGGTTGTTTCCTAATTTTCTGAGATATCGCCACATTGACATCCAAAGGGGTTGTACCAGCTTGCATTCCCACCAGCAGTGCAGAAGTGTTCCCTTTTCCCCACAACCTCTTCAGCATAAGTTGTCATCAGAGTTTTTGATCTTGGCCATTCTTACAGGTGTTAGATGGAATCTCAGAGTTGTTTTGATTTGCATTTCTCTGATGACTAAGGATGTTGAACATTTCCTTAAGTGTCTTTCAGCCATTTTAGATTCCTTTGTTGAGAGTTCTCTGTTTAGGTCTGTACTCCATTTTTTTTTTAAATTGGATTATGTGGTCTTTTGGTGTCCAATTTCTTTTTTTTTAAATATTTATTTATTTATTTATTATGTATACAATATTCTGTGTGTCTGTGTGAATGTCTGCATGCCAGAAGAGGGCACCAGACCTCATTACAGATGGTTGTGAGCCACCGTATGGTTGCCGGGAATTGAATTTAGGACCTTTGGAAGAGCAGGCAATGCTCCTAACCACAGAGCCATCTCTCCAGCCCCCTGGTGTCCAATTTCTTGAGTTTTTTGTATATTTTGGAGATCAGACCTCTGTCTGATGTGGGGTTAGTGAAGATCTTTTCCCATTCTGTAGGCTGCCGTTTTGTCTTGTTGACCGTGTCCTTTGCTTTACAGAAGCTTTTCAGTTTCAGGAGATCACATTTATTAATTGTTTCCCTCAGTGTCTGTGCTATTGGAGTTCTATTTAGTACGTGCTTCCCTGAGCCAATGTGTTCAAGTGTACTTCCCACTTTCCCTTCTATAAAGTTCAGTGTGGCTGGCTTTATGTTGAGGTCTTTGATCCATTTGGACTTGAGAGGATTTTTTTTTTATGGTTGAAAGTTTTGGCTATTGGTAAAATATCTTGTTTTTTTGAGGCAGGGTCTCACTATGTAGCTCTGGCTATCCTGGAGCTCACTATATAGTTCAGGTTGGCCTCAAACTCACAGAGATCCACCTGCCTCTGCCCCCTGGGATTTAAAGGCGTGGATCACCATCTCCTTTCTTTTTTTCTTTCTGAGGAAGAGAAAAGATTTATGTTCTATTTAGGTGTATTTGGGTGTCTGTGTGGGCGCATGTGTGTACATGCATGGAGGCCAGAAGAGGGTGTCAGATCTAGAGCTGGATCAGGTGGTTGTGAGCCGCCGGCTGTGGGTGCTGGGTCCCCTGTAAGTGTCGTATTCTTAACCCAGTGAACTGTTCCTGTAGTCCTGAAACTTTTATAAGGCTGGCCTGAACCTGTTGCTTCAGCTCAGGCATACAACATCACACAGGCAAGATTTGTATCTCTAGCACACTCCTAGTGGCCTTTTATTTTTTTTAATTTTTTTTTTTTTAAGGTTTATTAAATAGCCGTGGCTGATTTTGACTCTCCCTTGTCCTCACAATCTGCTTGCCTCAGCCCCCTGAGTGCTGGGATTATAAGTGTGGGCCACCACACTTTGCTTTTCCTCACATCTTTTAAGTACTGTCTAAAAGCAAAATTCAGTCAGCAAAACTCTTTAGTTGAGGAATCCAACTCGATCATGGGGATGATTCTGAGTAGGTGACACCTTTGGAAGGTAGAAGCTGTATAGGAAACTAGCCACAGCATCATTCAGGCTTGGCCTTGGCTTAGAGACAGATTCTGGGACATTAGTATTGGTTAGATAGATTTGCTGACAAACTAGTTTTTTGGGCACATGCTGTCTCTTGGCAACCGAATCCTTTGTCTAAACAATCTGCCTACAAATAAAGCTGAGTGCTGGAGAGGGTAAATGATCCTCTCTGTTTTGAAACTGCCTGCTCCCGGTGCCTCAGCTAAGATGCTCCCCGAGAGGTTTGCTCACCTGTTTCTGACCTTTCCTCAAGGCTGTCCCTTGCAGTTCCAGGTTCTGAAGGGGCAGTCTCCCAAAGCTGGCTGCGTTTCCTGTTGGTTCTGGGTGACAGTCAGGGCTGGCTTTGAGCATGATATCAACAATACTTTTAAAAAGCAAAAGACTTGCGCTGGAGAGATGGTTCAGTGGTTAAGAGCACATACTGCTCTTCTCGGGGACCTGGGTTTGAGTCCCTACACACACAGCTGGCACACAGTCAGCTCCAACTCCAGTTCCATCTAGCACTGGTTGTGGGGGCAGCTGTACTCACAGGCACTCCCTGCCCCCCATAGAACTTAAAATAGGAAAATTAAATCCTCAAGGCTTTCTGGCACTCATTCAGCTTTACATTTTTATTTATTTTTTAATTTATTTATTATTATTTTTTTTTGAGACAGGGTCTTATTCTGTAGTTCTGGCTGTTCTGAAACTCACTGTGTACACCAGGCTATCCTTGAACTCAAAGAGATCTGCCTGCCTTTGTCTCCCAAGTGCTGGGATTTTTAGGCCTGGCTTGAATTTTTTAAAAATTCTTTTCAGAAGCAAAGTTTGTAGTCATTTCTTCCCATACAGTGTTTGTCTGGTTTCTTAAAGACATTGTGGCTGAAATAGATTTTTTTTCCCAAAATTAAGTTTTTTAAATTATTGGAGCTGGTCAGGTGACTCAGCAGGTCAGGGCATGTGCCGCCATGGCTGATGACCTTCATTCCACAGGGTGGAAGCAGGGACTTGCCTCCTGCAAGAACCCCATGCCCAGTAAATCTAAAAAGATTGTTGAAAAGTTAGAAGCCTTCACAGCCAACTGTTAACTTCAAGGGTATTGATGGAGGTGTGTGGTACTTGGAAGCAGATTGTGGGATGCTAATTCATGCCTAGAACTTGGAAAAATCAGCTTGGGGGTCAAAGCTGATTGACCCCCAAAAAATCAGAACTTGGGGGTCAAGTTAAACATATTTAATTGTTTCTACTTCCAACTATAGTTGATTTTATAAAATATTATAACATTAGAAGATTTTGTTTGCTTGTTTGTGGGCAGATGGCTAAGTTAGTAACATGCCTGTCGCACAAGTGTCAGGACCCAGTTTGGGGACTCTGGGATCCATGTGTGATGTGGAGACACGAACCTATAACCCCAGTCCTGGGTGGCTGCGTCAGGCAGAACCAAGACTCGCGGGCTAGGTGAAATGGCAAGTTCCAGGTTTAATGGTAGATCTTGTCTTGAAAATTAA